CGCTCTATTCGCACTGTAGTCGACTACTACTGGTCGCTCCGTACTTTGGCCTATGCATGGGCGTGGGCAGGGTTGCACCAGCAGCGGGGACATGACGGTAAGGAGACAGTATTTATCTCCCTTACCGCTGCCCTGAACTACGCTGACCACGCGCTCTCCAGTGCCATGGAATTCGGCCAGGGCTCCAGGTTGTGGTTGGAGCGCAACGACCTGCTGACACGTACCAAGATGGCAAGTTACATTCGGCAAGGTTACAATGGTTGGGAAGCACTTCAAGAGGCCTTGCGTGAGACTCACCTTGAATGGCGCGCCAGTGCCATTCAGGCCGTCCCCAATGAGCCTGCAGGCGCACCCAAACGAGCAGCCCCGGGTGCCAGTGAGGCTGTGCCTCCTGCGCCCAAACGGCGCCAGATCAAGCAGGATTCGTACCAGACCATCTCTATGTTGAAAGGGGGCCTGAAGTTGTGCAAGCCTTGGAATGATGGACGCGGTTGCGCAAACAAGAAGTGCCCGCAGGTTCACAAGTGTGATGTCAAGCTGCCGACAGGTAAGCCGTGCCAGGGACCCCACACTAGGCTCGAGCATCCGAGCAAATAGGGACATCTCCCCCTGGCAGCCTGTGAGCTGCGGGGGGTTGAGCATCCAGTGCAGCAGAGGGATACCACGGCGCCACCTCAGGTGGCCGTGCGGCAGATCACCTTGCGCGAGCCTATGGAGCTCACCCCTTCGGCTTTAGCTACCCGCTTGGTGGGGGCAAAACCGGTGACATGGCGTGGCAGAGGAGACCTGCCACAGTTCCCTTGGGGTATATCTATTCGAGGCACTTGGCTGGTATTGGACCTCTGGGCGGGCATTGGTGGACTGTGCATTGCATTGCTTGCTCTCGGTGTTCACATCTACGCAATCAGCGCTGAGAGTGACCCGGTGGCTAGTGCCGCTGCACAGGCTGCAATGCCGAATTTGGTGCATATTGACTCAGTTGAGGAACTCCAGGGAGCGGACCTCCGCCAGTTCTTGCAACGGCGCGAAGTACGGGGCATCATCCTGGGTGGTGGTTCCCCGTGCCAAGGCAACTCTAGCTTGAACCGAGGCAGGCAGGGTCTTAATGACCCGAGATCTCAACAACCGAGCCAACTCCGACGCCTTCGGGAGGAGATTTTGGCCCTTCCGGAAGCTCGCACCTGTGAAGTCATCACATTCCTGGAGAACGTCGCCAGTATGCCCCAGTCCGTATGTGAACAGTACTCTACATGGTTGGGCGCTCAACCGGCGCTGAGCGACGCGGCTGGGTGTGGCTGGGTCCACCGCCGCCGTTTGTACTGGTTGGCATCCCGCAGCGCAGGTTTGTCATCGAGGGGCACGCCGCCTTCAGATTGGGTCTGGCAGCAAGGCTCCGGGAGCCGACATCCGACCCTACACTACTGCGGAAAGAAGCCTATCCCTGCTCAGGTATGGTGGGATGATCACTTCCGGCCGATGCTGGACCCCAAGCAAGTGATGCAAGCGCAAGGCTCTGGTGCTATGCACCCTTTCACTCGCGAGTTCTTCCACCCTACGGATCGGCTGGCACAAGTGACACCGGCAGCGGCAGCACGGTTCCATCAGGACAATCGTCGTTTCCCACCGGCAGCTTATGAGGAGAATTCGCTGTTGTGGTCAGGTGACAACTGGAGACAGCCCTCCCCAGACGAGAGGTCCCAATTGATGGGTGTGCCTGTGGCCGCCACCCATGCAGTCCAGGGCTCACAAGACCAGCGAACAAAGCTACGAAACTCTGTGCTAGGCAACGGCTTCCATATTCCAAGTGTCATGGCGCTTCTGTGCTGCCTTCCATCCATCATGGAGGCCAAGCTGACAAAGCAGCCCTTTGATGTGGAGGAGTTAGGCCTTGCTGAACGCCTATGCCATACAGTATGGAGCCCGGGTCGGTTGGCAACTATGCCGGGTATCCTCTCTGCAGGTGAAGTGTGTGCAGAATTACAAGCCACCTTTCCTTTCCTCCCATGTCAGGAGGCAGTCTGGCCGGAGGTGTCCCGGAGGTTGGCGGCATGTGAGCTCGCTACGCTACAAGCCTACCCGATGTGGCGCCGCCTCAGGCAAGAGTCATGGTCCACCTTGGGCCCTACACCGGTTTGGGGCCGAGAACGCACAGCCATCTATGCTGGTCTCACGGGCCAAAGATATGCCAGCAATGCAGCCAAAGGACTGGATCACCTCCTCCCGCCGGGTATGGGCAAGCAAGAGCATATTGCAGCTGCCTTGAAACTGCCCTCGCCGTTTGCACCCCGCCCCTGGCCTGAACCGGACATGAGCTTTGTCATCCAGGCTGTGGCAACCTGGAGACAAGCCCTCCCTCGCTGGGCAGAGAAGCTTCGCCACGTCCTGGCCACGGTGGCGCGGGCGGTGACTCCCCTGGAGGACGCATTGAACCCCTTCCGATGCCAGAGTGCTCGGAAAGTGGCGATGGGAAAACGACCAGCCTTTGTGGCCACCATGGTCGCTTTGTTACGTTGGCCGGACAAGATGCTCGCAAGATCCCTGGTTTTGGGCTTCGACATTGTGGGCGACATGGAGCACTCGGGGGTTTTTCGACCCATTGTCCAGGAAGGAGAACTATCCCTGGACCAGTGGTTGGGGACGGCAGCCGAGGCTGACCTAGATCGCCTCCTTCGCACCCGCCCTCCGGAGCATGTCCAAGACATCCTGGACTTGACTAACGATGAGATTGAAAAAGAGTTTTGCTCTCCTTTGCGCACCGCACGGGAAATGGATGATCTTTTCGGTGTTGGGGGGTGGAGGTTCGTGGAACGTTTCCTCATCATCCAACCGGATGGGAAGAAACGAGCCATTGACAATGCTCGGAAAAGTGGTCATAATGCTCATACAACAATGCACGAAACGATCTCAACTGTCAATGTTGACTTCTGTGCCTCAGTAGCCCGTATGTTGCATTCTGAAATGCCCTTTCCGGTAGGCTCACCTCCCGAGTGGCTTGATATCCGTCTGGGCACGGATGATCTTCCTGACGCTTACCGGGGCCTACCCGTCGCTGACTCCCATCTTCCCTTCTCTAATGTTGCGATTTTCGTTCCCTCATTGGGCTGGAGATTTACATGCATGTGGGGTCTAGCTTACGGTCTCGAAAGCGCGGTGGTGAATTTCAATCGCTTCCCACAACTGGGTATTGCCATCACCCGTAGATGTCTCTTAGGGTGCTCAGCTGCATACTTTGACGACGAGCTATCGGTGGAGTGCATTCGTGACAACGATGTCTCCCAACGGAGCCTCCAGTTGGTTTTCAGGCTGTTGGGAGCACCGCCCCAGAGCTCCAAAAGTTTTGCGCCAGCACCTAATAGACATTACCTCGGGACTTCAGTCCACGTAGGAGACTTTGGCTGGTTAGGAGTCATCAGATTCCAACCAAAGACCTCCACTACGAGGAAGGTCCAAGCCAAGCTCCACGAGGCTATCGCTACCCGACACCTCCGACCCGATGATGCGGGGAAGCTTCGTGGCGACCTCAACTGGCTATTCAGCATGTGCGCAGGGCAAGCTGGCCGCTTCGCAGGGCCAGTGTTGGCCGCCAAACAGCACGCTGCCACTCCTGAACTAGCAGACGCTGAGGTTACTACTTTACGCCTCCTCAGCATCATGCTTCACGAAGCCAGGCCCCGGGATATTGAGGTGTGCTCAGCCACCAAATCCCCCCTGGTAATTTATTCTGATGCCTCTTTTGAAAAGGGCACCTTGCGGGTTGGATGGGTACTCATGACATCGCCTCCTTTGGGAGTCTCATGCCTGGTACCATCCGAGGTGACTGATTCATGGATTGAACGCCCGGCGAAACACTTTGTGGACTCCTCGTGCCGTGGGTCCATGGTGACATCCTTGCCGGTCGTGATCTCCTCTGGTTCGTTGATAATGAGGCCGCTGTTTCCTCATTAATTAAAGGTTCCAGTGGACAAGAAGACGTTCATGCCATTGTCCAGTTAGCTCATTTGATTTTCCAGAAACGTCAGATTCGACCTTGGATTGAATGGATCGACTCCGCCAGTAACCCTTCTGATGGTTTGTCCAGGTTGGGTATCGAGGACGAATGGACCCGTACCCAACCATGGCGACTGTGCGAACTGTCCTTCCCAGTCGAATTATATTTTGTTTCTCGGCCTACGGACCTTCAACCTTTCCTCTCCTATTTGAACAGTGGGTGATATTTTGACAGTGGGTGATCAGGTATGTTCATCAAAGATGACATAAAAAGCTAGTCTGTGGGTTTTCCAACCACGACTGTTATCCCAGTGTTAATTTAACACTGCTGTTCAACTAAGGAGCGTGTTAGGTCTTAGGTACCGCCGCCCTTAACCAGGCAGACTTTGAGAGTTCATTCTCCACGGAAAAAGACGCCTGCTTTACCGTGTGGAATCGTCCTGTATGTTTCTTATCAATCAATATGAATGGTTGGTTGGGTAGGGACATATTGAGATGTGAAACATATAGCGGGGATCCTCAATCTTGGATGCCATTTTGGCTCAAGATTGGGGGCTCCCCTCCTTTTTCTTCCCGCCCACTACCACCCTTGACACCCTCTGCGGGTACTATAGGGTAGGGATGGGGATTTCCTGTATCTACCCCCTTGAGGGTGATCAGGTATGTTCATCAAAGATGACATAAAAAGCTAGTCTGTGGGTTTTCCAACCACGACTGTTATCCCAGTGTTAATTTAACACTGCTGTTCAACTAAGGAGCGTGTTAGGTCTTAGGTACCGCCGCCCTTAACCAGGCAGACTTTGAGAGTTCATTCTCCACGGAAAAAGACGCCTGCTTTACCGTGTGGAATCGTCCTGTATGTTTCCAATTCGAATGGGTGGGTTTGTTAATCAAGAGTCTACATTAGTAGAGATTCTCAGAAGGTTCTTTGTGGTATCACTCCAGTCATTGGGAACACTGCCAAAACACCCTCGTTACCTCGAGAGTTTCTCTGAGTTTCGATTGATCTTTGCAGCTTCTGGCTCTTGTGGAGAAGCAAAAGGTCCCCTTCCTGCTGATGCAAAAAAGAGAAATGAGGCTCACCGACCCTGCTAAGTTCAAGTTGTTGCAAGGGGGAAGCTTGGTCTTCAATTGGTTTTATCACGAAAGGTAGCAGTTACGCTACCTGAGTTTTCCTTTTGCTTTAGCAAACATGAATTACAACCAGAGTGGACACCCATCTCACTGAGAAATCGCCTCCGACATTTACTTTTAAGGGCCGAGGGGGGCCCCCTCCCACCCTCCTTCAACTCCACCCTGGCGCGGGTCTTTGTCAACAGTTACAAAACACTGTAAATACAAGTGTTTTCAGCTCCTCCAGTCTGCAAGAGTGGCCTCAAACCACGCAATTTACAGGGTTTTCTGTGGCTGTCCGGCCAAAAACATCGTAAAAACCGATGGTTTTTGAAGTGTCTAGGCTTCAAACATGGTCGAACAATTGCAAACAACCTGGAAAGATTTTGTCAAAAAGGGCTTTTTCGGCGTTTGGAGGCTTCTAAATGGCGGAAAACGACGGTATTTACACGGGCTTGTGCGCCTTCCCGGCACAAAACCCTGTAAATTGCGATGGTTTTGGGCTGTGTACGCTTCAAAGTTGCCACAAAACACCGTAAATGACAGTGTTTTCATGTGTTTTCAGCTCCTCCTATCTTCAAGAGTGGCCTCAAACCACGCTATTTGCAGGTTTTTTTGTGGCGGAAAGGGCTTTTGCGGTGCTTAGAGGCTTCAAAGTGGCACAAAGCGACGGTACTTACACGGGCTTCTGCACCTTCCTGCCACAAAACCCTGTATATTGGGATGGTTTCAAGCTATGTACGCTTCAAAGTGGCCACAAAGCACCGTAAATACCATTAATACCAGTGTTTCCAGGGTTACACCTGATTCCCTGCTACCTTTCGTTCACCCCCTCCTCTCTCAAGTCACGTGTCATGATGACTTTTTTGTAGTGTAGCGCAGCACAGTGCCAAGGAGAGAGTCGCGCTGATCAGCCCATTATTCAGTTGCCGGGCTTGGTTCCACCTTTGACGGATGACACTGGGGAGTGCACCATGGTCCTGGTTTTCCCCAGGGACAGAAGAGCTGGTGGCGCGGTTGATCACCACGAATTCGTGGCAGAGCCCTTCGAGAAAGCGAAAGATATCTTCGACGTGGGCGACAACCCAGCAAGCGCCGACACGCTCAAGAAGTTTCAATACATCGTCGAGGAAGCTGCCGCCTGGGTGGAGAATACTCGCCATTTGACATCGCTACTAGTAGCCCTTGTTACTAGTAGCGATGCCCTTGCTACTGGTAGCTCTTGGCTACTAGTAGTAATGCCCTTGCTACTAGTAGCGATGCCCTTGCTACTGGTAGCTTCTAGCTGCAGTAGAGGTCTTTCTTGGGTCTGGGAACAGTCTTGGAACCTTTCCCTCAAACTATGTAACAAGAAACACACATGCTGCATGTCAAAAGAGTTCACAAGAGTGCTGTCTTTGACTGAACTACCCCTGTTCAGCTTCAAAGTCTTTTGCGGCAATTGAAGCGACGACAATAGGATGCGGACGACGATTTGGAGATGGAGCTTTACCAGGCAGATATCAGGAGTCGCTTTTTGGAGATCTTGGGTCACTCAGGCGCGTGGCGCGTTGACGCGAGGTGAAGGTTTTGCTATTGAGGTTAAGAGGGTGATGGGATTGCAACATTTTTCTACCCCAAGAGTTGACACCAGTCCACATAGCCGTTTTCCCGCATGGCACAAAGAGCACACTCTTGCCCAAGTGCGAACAGAAGTGAAGCACTGGCAGTCAAAGACAGCTGGATTCACATGTGCAACTAGGACATGGGAGAGGGTCTTTTTTTAGGTTGTAAAGCCTGACATGTGATCCGGATGGTCGCTATCGGGAAAGGTAGAGGCTCACAAGCAAAAAGAAGGCAAAAAAGCAATCATTTGTAACACATGCACTGGCACGCGTTTCATTAATTTTTTTACTTTAACCTTTTGCACATTTTCATGCTTTCCGCTTTTATCATTGGGCTGCAAGTTTGACTTTCTCCCCAGATAGCTGGAAGCTATAGGGCGCTTACTTCTCTCAGAATCAGTAGTCTGTCAGAAAATGACTGCCTGTTTGTCTGCCCAGCATATCTGGTGTACTGTGAAGGCCACGGTCTGGCTGTCTCCAATGGCACGCAGATTATACATGCGGGCCTGCAGCAGTGGAGTCAAACTGCTAATATTTTTTGGCTTTTAATGTCCCAGTATCCCAGTTTATACTACGATAAACCGTGCCGTGCGCCATACCAAAGGAAATAGTATGTGAGATCATATGTGAGATCGCTCCATCTGGGGTATCACGTGCTGGTGCAATGGACTTTTGGACTCTGAAAGGTCCATGAATCATTCTTCCAGAGGTCAAGTAGATAGATTCGCACCTGCTTGAGGCACCGCTCAAAAATCGTAACGGCGAGCCGGGAGTATTCCAAGGTCATGCGGTCTGACCGCCTCCCCTGTTTTTGTGGAGTTTACACCCGGCGTTCTTCGCGTATGACAAATTCTTGCAGCGAATATCCGGCTGCATTTCGCTATAGACATGGCCTTGCATCGCGCACTCAGCATTTTCTATTGGGACCATGTTCGCGCTGTGGATGTCGCAAGGGTCCTTTGGCTTGTTCTTTGCCGGTAGCAACTGCTGCAGGAATTATGGTGGAGCAATTCTCTAGCCTTGATGGAGATGAAGACTTTGTGACATTGACTCTTCCCCTGGAGGGACCGACCATCGAGTACTTTGCTCAAAGGCTTGGACACTTGGAGATCGTTAGAGCTTAAGTTACCACAGGCCTGAGTGTCAAGTCCTTAGGTTTCAGAGGTTTGTCATTATCGGTTGGAACCTTTTTATTAAAATGGAGACAGCATTTTGGAGGTTCAAAACAAAAACTGGACACCGTCAGGATGGCAGTGATTTCTTTTTGCAATTTCCATCACTTCAGGATACTCCATGCCGTTGACGAGCGCCTGTTATCAGAAGGTGAAACCTCATGGCCCATATCCGGGCACCTATCCAATGTCCAACGATGATGGGCGGGACTGTTTTACGTTCGATTGGTTGATTCGCTGACAGTCGTGTTTCTTTTTTGTTTGGTTTTTCTTGGCTTCCGTTTGCTTTGGTTTTGCATGGAGTTTGCGGATTGCAAACAATGTGTCCTCAATACATTTCATTAGCCAAAATGGCATGCCATTTTGGCTCAAGGATCAGAACCCTGATCCATTGTGGCTGTATCCCACTTGATCTTTTCTGACTCTCGCCGCAATGGCTGACACGCTTTTCGACTTCGAACTTTTGGACCCAGCTGATGACTTCATGGATCTGGACTTGGATCCTATGGAGCAGGAGGTCGCAGCCGCAGAATCAGCCCAGCTTGAGGCCGATCAAGATGAGATGGCCATTTTGGCCGATTACGTGATCCCCCCGGACAAGACCCCTGAGGATCTGGCAAAGGATCTGGAGGCGATGGTGAGTGGCGTCAACACCCTCTCGCTCCAGGCTACGTGGTTGTATCCCCACTGACAGTGGCACCTACATCGTCGACCCCTCCATTGGCATCTTCGGACGCTCCTGCAACGGCGGCCTTGGCACCTCGCAGCGGCTTGGTGAGCTCTACCTCGGCTTCTCCCCCACCGGCATCTTCCGTGGATGCAGGGTCGGCATCGACTGCGCCAAGTAGCCGGAAACGTCCCTTGGATCAGAGTGACAAAGCGGGAGCCCTGGCAGGTGCCTCGGGCCCTGATACTGGGATTCCGTCTGCGGAGTCCTCTGTACCCGCTGCCTTGGTTGGGAGTGGTCATTCTGGAGCCTCGGCAGGTGCTTCATGCCCTGATACTGAGCCTCGTAAGGATGCACCGCTCTCCTCAGTGCAAGCATCAGGGGCCCTGTCGCTGTCTGGTAAGCAGCCTGCGCCAGTTCCTTCCTCGACTTTAGGGACGACCTTGGAAGGTTCCAGTTGAAGGACGCCTTCAGGATCCTGTGACCTACTCCTTTGCCGAGGACGGGAACATCCTTCTGGCCAATGTCATGGCTGGTCTTCCCTGCCTCCCAAAGAAACTGGCGCAACCATTGCGAAGCATCCAAGTGGGTGAGATCATTGAGCTTTGCCTCCAGTTTGACGTGACGAAGCTCACCCCGGCAGCCTTTGCTCGCACTGTTGAGGTTTATGCCATTGCCAAGGCCAAGCACCTTGCGCAGGAGATATGGGAGGCTAAGCGTCTGCCCAAAGGAGCGCGCTCCATGGAGAAGCTGACGACCCTCCCAGAGGTGAACTGTTTCACAAGCTGGGTCCTCCCCAAGTCGCCGAAGTGTCTTCACTGTGGTTCTACGGAGGGGAAGGTTCCAACGGCGCTGTTTTCAGCCTCGATGACAGTGGATGGCGTCACATGGACTATGACCTTTGATGCGGACAAGCAGCTCCGTTGGCAGTCCGACTCCTGGGGCCAGGGTGACTCTCAGAAGTCTCTTTGCTCGGTGGAAGTTAGCAGTCTTGGACAAAAGCCGCCAGCTGTGGGTGCTACTGGTGAGTGACTCGAATCGCCTTACCCTTCGTCAGGAAGTGATGCAGAGAGGGGATGATGAGGTCTCCCACAAGCAGGAGGTGGAGCGCAAACCGCAACGAGCCACTGATGATGACCCGGGCCAGGAGACCATCACCTTCCATCCCTCCCACGTGAAGGCCATGCGCTTGATCTCGGACACCCCAGATGGATGTGGTCTATGAACTTCAAGCGGGGTCCCACATGGTGCCTGATTCGGAAGCGCATGGAGCAGCCGTTCTCCGACACCTGGACATTGAGAAGTTCAGATCTTTCCTCAGCGGAAGGGGCAGAATGAAAAAGGGCAACCCCAAGACGCACTCCTCTCATCCCAAACTATGCTGGAGAAGGCCAAGGAGGAGAACCAGGCATTCCACCGGAAGCAGAAGCGTAAGCTGGAGCTCCTCCTTCCCACCTATGATGGAATCAGTGTGTGGCCGGACAAGGTCAGGAAGGCTCTGGAGAGTGGTCTCTTCGAACCGGAGCGTGGACCGATGGCGGTGGATGGCGAGCAACTCCAAGAGGTGAAGGAGGCCCACCTTCGCACCCGGGAGCCCATCAAGCAGGGCACCAACCCCTTCAACCCGCGACTCTTGGAGGAGACTGCCTTCAACACGACGTTCATGGAGTACCAGGAGCCCTCCACAGGTGCTTCACGCCCTGATATGGGGGGTTCCTCCGCGTCGGAACCTACTTCCATCGACCCCCTCACCAAGGAGATTGTCACTGAGTTGGAGCCGGGGTCTGGCGAGGCGAAGCTTGCTATGATCCATGCGATGTTGGGCTACCACAAAGGCGAGGTTCGAGCCTATGGAGGCCAATGGAGTAGTCCCAGACTGGGCCTCCAAGAAGGTTGCCACCACAGCGGTCTGGGCACTGGAACGTCGCACACACCCTCGCAACCTGCAAACCCGTTGGGGCGACCTGGTGGAGTACACCGAGCAGGAGATCGAGGGCCACATTGCTCGCAAGAGACGCCCGGCCATTGACAAGGTGGTAGGTCTCTTCTGGGCCCCCAGTGATGATGATGGGGACTGGCACTGGAGACGGGACGTCTCTACATGGACTTTGCCGGTTCTCCTGGGGGCCTTGGGTTATGAGTACACCTTGAAGGAGTTGTACAACATCTGGTGCTTCTTGCCGCTCATTGTCCAGACCCAGGTGCGGGGACAGCGCAATGTGGAGAAGAACAACCAGCGGCTCAAGACGTACACCAACCTGAAGGAGGAGACTCAGAACTGTGTGGCCTCCCTCTGAAACCCACGAACCAACAGGAGTGGAAGCTGCTACATATACCGTGAGATGGGCGCATACCTGGCTGCCAGCAGCTTCATTACGCATACTCCTCCCTGCATCATGGAGTTGCCGCGCGGCAGTTCGTGACACCAAGCGACGCATGATTGAACGGGCCATCTGTGACGAGAGGGTCACGCTCCCCCTGTCAGCCTTGCGAGAGGTGGATGTAGTCTATACAAAGCTCCTCCCACAACTCGAGTCTTCTTGCATGGTGGAGATCAAGGTGGCGTGGCGCTGCACGGAGGAGCAATGGTGGGTCGCAAAGGTCACAGACCCTGCAAAGGCCTCTGCCATCTACAGGAAGCTGGGCTGTTCTGATGCCTCCATTGTGGCCTTGGGACTTCCGGATGCCCCCCCCACAGGTGCCTCGGGCCCCGATATGGGGGTGGCGCTGCCTGATGAGCATCTACCGGGGTCGCAGAGCAACTATCCCCCCCTCACGGTGGACTGCGTGGAGTCGGTCGCGGGCTCGGAGTATAAGAAGAAGCAGTTCTAGCACAAGAACAGCCATGTTTGCTGGGGCCGATTGGAGTGCGGCCTGATCTTGAGCTCGATCTCGCCCTGGGACACCTTTCCTACGAATTGGCAGACCCCCGCCCTGGCAGGGGGCCCCCCTACCTATACTGAGGTATCTTCGGCATCCTTGCCAGACTCAGAGCACTCCCTCACGGACGACTCGGTGGATACAGCCTCTGAAGAAGAGAAGATTACCTCGGAGATGATCCAACGTTCTCATGAGCACACAGCGGAGTGACATAGCTTGGACTGACACCACTCCGGAACCGGCCCTCTGACCTTTTCAAACGGTCCTTGTGCTGACCCTTCCTGGGATTAACCCGGGTGGTAAAGGGCAGGTGCTGCGTGCCCTGATATACCCTAACTGCTGGGGAGATGGGCGAACACCACTACGGGTCCAGGACCCCATGGGCTGGGCCTTGCGCGTTTGCCACTTACCTTTGGGATTGGCGAACACTGGGTGGCATCCATCCTTTGGCATTGACAGATTTTCGAATGCCACCCAGTGCACACCAGGCGAAGTCCTGGCACAGGGTGGAAGGACAGCCAGACCTGTAAAGGCAGACACTACCACCTCTCAGGGAAAAGAGGTGTAAGCTGCTGCCTTGATGCTGCTTATATTTGCCTTTTGGATTGATGTTTGAGGACACTTTGGTTTTGCGTGGAGTTTGCGGATTGCAAACAATGTGTCCTCAATACATTTCATTAGCCAAAATGGCATGCCATTTTGGCTCAAGGATCAGAACCCTGATCCATCAAAGATCAAACTTTCGAAAAACCCACCCACCACTCCCTGTGATCTTTGGAATGGCAGCCGGGTGCTCCACCTATGCCGGTACGTCCTCCTCATCCGGTACCAGAACCTCTTCAAGCACACGTGGACATGCTCAGTGTGGGTGTCAAGGCTCTTTTCACACAAAAGGGGACCCCCTACTGGGTCATGGCCCAGATGGCCCAAGCGGGTTACACCACAATGGAAGACCTTGCGGATCGTTGGGACACCCCCGCCCTGGCAAGACAGCACGCAGCCAGGGACTTGAACTTCACCAACAATGACCATGGCTGGACGAATGAACTCCGAGAACTCATCTCGATGCGCATGTACCAGTGCGTTCGCCTTGCCAAGGAGACCGTCGGGGAGACCATTACTGGCTTGGCCCGGGGCCCAGATCACCCGGCCCTCCCCATTGGTAAGACCACTGGCTTGGATGCGATCTGTGACCGAAAACAAATCCTAGTGGACTGGGATCGGCTTGCAAACCAACCACGTCCGAAGCTGACCTACCAGGGGAGTGATAACTTCCTGAAGAAGCAGTTCAAGCTGTGTGTCCATGGTGAGATCGGGTTCTTCCTCACGAAGCACATCATCTCGGCCCTCCCGGACACCGATGAGAAGCCCGTCAAGATCACTTTTAACGCCCCCAGTTCAATGTGACCAAGGCGGACTTGGATGATTGGTACGAGTGGTTCTGGGGGAAGGACATCGCTGAGCGGAAGCCCCCCCCCGCTTCAGAATCCACACTGGTCTATGCCGAACGCAATGCGTGGCGTGAGGGAGCCACGTTGAAAGATGCCATGCGGGACCTCCGCCAAGACAGCCTATTCTGGACCATGGAGGTCTATGAGAGGCGCCAGACACGCGGCAACTCCCAGACACCCATCAAAGGGAAATCCAAAGGACAGAAGGGCGCCGCATGGACCACGCGGCAAACCCAATGGTCAAAAGGACAGACCAAGACTTGGACCCCTTCAGCCAAAGGCAAGTCCAAGACGAAAGACAAAGGCAAGTCGAAGCCAACTTGGCCTTCCCCCTGAGCAACTGCTGCACCAAATGGAGTCCCTTTCTGCCGTGACTTTCACATCAAGAAGACCTGCCAAGGCAACTGTGGCCGTTCTCGCAACTGCCCAGTCACGAAGGATGGAGGGTCTGCAATCCACCCTCGGGCAGCATAGCCCCAACAACTGCCCACACAAGTGACTAGGCCTGGCATCCACAGATGCTCCATGCTCTGATATGGATCCAGGCCTCACCACCGCACCAGTGCCCTCTGTTAAGGCGAGTGGACTGTCTCCCCCAGGTGCCTCGGGCCCTGATAAGGGAACAGTCAACACTCCGGCGCATACCAGACCCCCGACAGGGGGACACCGGACCACCTAATGATATGCCCCCCACACAGCGGGCATTGAACCAGTGGACTGGGAATGAAGCGGATGCATGGCTAGAATTGCAGCAGTGGATGCAGTTTGTTCCGCAACGGCTGCGCGATCGACTACGATGGAGTCAGGGGCATTCCCACCTTCCTCCTCGGGGAGCAACTCATCTTCTCCTCTATGCAGGAAAAGACGACAGCACATCCTTAGACTCTTGCATTCGGAAAAATTTCCCCATACTATCGTCCAAGCTCATTGCGCTGGACATTCGGCGAGAAGGCAAGGAAGTCGAGCATGACCTCCTCCGGGACCAACCATACAGTGACCTCTGCAATCGGGCATTGGCGGGCCAGCTTGAGGGCGTTGGGGGAGGCCCCAACTGCCGCACTTGAAGCATTCATTGGATCCCCAAGCCAGGTGCACCGCCGCCAGTACGAGGCCGCAAAGAACCCCACTGCTGGGGCCTGGAAGGTCTGAAGGCATCAGACCAACAGCTTGTGGACGACGACAGCATCTTACTGCTACGTCAAATGGTCCTCACCCACCTCGCCCATCTGGGCAGGGCAAAGCTGATGTCTCCAGCACCATGGAACTTCCTGGAGCATCCAGTGGATCCCAAGCCCAGATGATCACAAACGGAGTGACACGCTCATGTCATCGGACCTTAGCAGGTACCCATGGCATATGATGCATGGACTGGCAAGCGCCATCCACGAAAACCAAACGCGAAGCCTCTTGCCGGGCGCACCGACAGAGCCCTGCTCCGCAGTTGCTTCATGCACTGATAACGGACCAGGTGCCTCTAAGAAGCCCCGACTGGGGGATACATCCAAGGCGGGCCCTGGGAACCAACAAGAGTGCCAGAAGTTGGCACAAACACCCAATGCCAAGCAGGGTCAGCACTCCGCCTGCGGTACGTCCCGGGAGGCAGACGGCCATCAAGACCCATTATGGATCATCCATCCGAGGAAGGGGTCAAACCTCACAACCCCAACTCCGCCTGCGGTACGTCCCGGGAGAAGGACCCAGGGTCAGACTGGAGGAAGCCCTCCACGTCACGTGGCCCAACGAACGGCCCACAACTCCGCCGGCGGTGCGTTTCGGGAGACGAGCACCTCATCACAGCATGAGGCACGAAGTGACCAGACAGGTTCTCAACAGACCGGCGGAGGAACCCCTCCACAGGACAGGCAACAACCTAAGAACCCCAACTCCGTCTGCGGTACGTCCCGGGAGGGTGAATTGCTTGTTTCAAACGAGACGAAACCCTCGGGGTTGGATAGACCTTCCCACTTGCCTACTACGGCCAGGCTACACCTTCTTGATGACAAACTTCTTGTCCCCTTAGGATTCAGAGTGCGACCAATAAGAGATGGCCTTGATGCTGCTTATATTTGCCTTTTGGATTGATGTTTGAGGACACAGTAAGACAAATTCACGTTTGCAGGAAGTGGTGGCTTACGACCGGTTCACTCAAGAGGGCAAGGAGCGCTTTCAGAAGTTTCGGAAGACTGATGCCATTAGGATTCTGGAATTCTGGCTGGACAGATGGGTCACTAGGCAGTGTTGAGCAAGGTTTCTGTTTGTGTTGAGCCTCCTTGTACTCCAAGTGTCTAGCTGAAATCTCTGAGGTGTAGGTTCACCTTGCTCTCTAGGGTGCAGACCATTCTGAGCACTTCGCTTAACTCACAACAGAGCAACTTCGATTTTCTTCTAGTCATGGTAGTCAGTTAATGAACAAAATTGCGCCGATAGGCAGCATCACTAATGTCTTGACTGGAAACTCCCATTCTGCTCTTCATGACTGCAAGATCGACAGATTCGAGAACCTCAAGAGCACTTTGGAACCCCAAAGCGTGGATTCGGAAGCCATCATGATCATGTTATTTTTCCTTGGCATCCTGATTCGTTGGCCACCAGGTGAGCTTGGATGAAATGCAGCAGCAAGGTGTCATCTCAAAGTACTACCCATGTCCTGATCCCGAAGAGCTCGAAGCAATTCATAACTCAGTTCTGACATGCAAAGGTTTCATCCCTGAAAACATGCTCAAAGGGATCATCTCCTTTCGCAACTTGGCCCAAAAAGCCGTAAGCTGCGTAGGCTTTCTACTTTTGGCAAGTGTTTTTGAAGGCCCTGGCTTTCAACATGCAGTTTTAGTTGTTGCGGGTTCCAGGCACATACTTTGGAGATCAGATTGCATTTCTTTTTCGATGGAACCTCCACCTGTGCAATGCAACGACCATTCTTGCGATTGTCGGGGTGATCTTTTTCGCCTTAAAGATGACCACGCTGTCGCCCGCATCTTGGACCTGTTCGTTCTCCGATTCAAAGGAAGCTTGCGCTTGCTTCGTGCAAGGGCCATCGCTGTTCCTAAGGACGAAACGGAGATCGGAAAGACCTGCATTGCGCTGTTCCTGTCGATTTGGGTGGCCGGCATGCTTCAAGTCTTCAAGAGGCATACAGCTCGGTTGAAGCAGATCTGGGGAATCAAGTCAGAGGAAGAGATCATTGTGCAGGTGATTTGTCAGCAAATACAAACAGTTTTTGCTTTTGCAACTGGTTTACTTGGAGTGGTTATAGCCAGTCTGTTTTGTATTGTATAGTTGGTAGTTGAGCCGCAGGACGACTTGAAAGACTATAGAGTTCGTCAAGCCATCCTGATTCAGCACCCCTTCAATTAATTTGTTCGAGATCCTGCCGCACGTTTCCAGGCTCACACACAGACATTGTTTCATGTCAGATCAATTGCGTCAGGTGCATGCTGACTGGGACCATGAGCGAGTCGGCGTACCTGGCTGGGTCGTGAATCTTTTCACCGTTCTTTTCCTTGCTTGCTATATGGGTGGAATCTTCGGCGTTCTTGCGTGGCAGTATTCGCTGGAGGAAGACTCTTTTTTCTACAGCTATTCATCGGTAATCCTGCATCTCGGCCCAAACGATTGGTCCTTCTTGTGAGCTGTGAGCATATTCAAGAGACCTTCAGCTAAGTCTGGTAAGGCCGCTCACAATGATGCGACTTTCCTCAGTCCTAAGTACTAACTCCGGATTTCTCGTTCCTCAATCGTACTGGCATGAGGATTCTAGGAACCAAAAGTCAAGATTCAAGGAATTACATAAACCGGATTTACACAATAAGCAGCTTAGGCGCCTTTGCCAAGCCCTAAATGCGGATAATTCTTTCAAGTCCAATTCCTGGCGAGCCAGACCTCCACGACAATTCTAAGTCTTGCAGCAAAGGCACATGTCTTTCTGTTCGTTTTACAAGCCACCGAGGACAGTCGTGATCAAAGGCGGGAGCTTCATTTGGGGCCTCTTGGCACCTTGCCTGGTGGGCCTGGAGAACATCAGGAAAGAGAGTGCTTTCACCGAAGCTTGGGATGAAGTGATGGGGAGAGCCACGAAGACTTGAAGAACGTGGGACTCTGGACGTGTGATTTTGAGAAGAATTACTTCCAACGATCCCTGGATGGTGACAACGATTCCTGAATGACTATTCTATGTTAAAGCCATCCGGGCTGGCTGAAGTTTCAGCCAACGAAGTGGGTTCTGGGGGTCTGGCGGTCGTGCCGAAATGGAATTAGATGATGTGAATAGTGTGCCAGAGAGTTTGTGTTTGGGTCACCATCATGCTGGTGATGCAAGTTCTTAGGGATGGCGAAGGATAGAGATGGACAGACCGACAGACGGACGGAGTGTGGGAACTATATGGGGGAATGAGACATGGATGGATCAGTGGTGGTGTTGTGAGGAGGTGGCCTAGGATTGGATGGGCTCGAGATGTAGAACGTTTTTATTTTTTTAAATCCTAGCACTGCAGACCCACTGTACACATCAGCAACTTAACCTGAGCGCCCCAATCTATCTTTTTTTCTTCTTGAATGCTCCGACACCTGCTGGCTTGCGTACTAACCTTCTCGGGCTACTGGGTGGGCTACCACTGGGTAGGTGGACTTCACTAGGTGGGCTGCCACTAGGTCAGCCAGGTGCAAAGGTGGAGTGCCGCATTCAGTGCAGCCTTTGAATATTTTGCACAAGGTGTCATCATGTCGTCCCAAAACTGGAGAGATGATGTAGACTTGCCACAGGGGGCGCGACAAGCCGCACACACCGGCTTCTGAGGATAAACTTTCTGGTCTCCTGGCGGGTGTGAAGCTCTTTGTGGCCAATTGGCCATTTATTGCACACGCCTTCCTGACCAACTACCTCCAAAGGACCTGTGGAGCAAGCCACGAGGAGGCCGCAGGAAAAGTCTATCCTGACTTCGATCCTGCCCATGACAATGGTGCGATCCTGAAGGCTCCAAGCCTTCACAGATAGTTGCGTAAAAACAGTGCTGATAACAGCGACGGTGAGAATATCACATAACGATTCTGAGGCCACTCTTCGATCAAACAAAGAAAAGGACAAACCACAGTAGCAGGATGAGGCTGATGAGGCAGAACTTTTTACAGTAGGTCAGTAGGTGCGAGAGAAGGGCCCAACTCAGATCCAAGTCGCCGGGTCACGCAAACACAACAAACTCGTCTTAGCTTGAACAATGACGTCTTAGCGCAACCGGTCTTCTTTTTTTTTTTCAGATAGGCCTGTTCTTGCTCTTGCTTTTCTTGCTTTGTGCGGAGCAAAGGTCTTGAAAGAGCAGTGGGCATATAAGCGGGGTCATCAAGTTTGCCTTCCTGGCTGCATGCCTGAAAGCTGGAGGAGTATGGCTACACAGTACACCACCTCGTGTCGGCGACTTAGTTGATTGCTGCTCCAGGCAGAAGTGTTGCTTAAGTTGGCACCTGAGATGACAACGAACACCGCGCGCTGAAGTGGCGCCATTTCGAGGTGAGGCCGACTTGGAGTCAAACTTGACAACATATTTCTTCTTTGCAATAGTTATTGAGTTTGTCTTCTTGGTGTTGCCCATTGCCCTTTCTTACTTGGAGATCTGGAAGGACAGAGCCGGACGGAGCGTCCCTCGCTTTTTTGCTTTGGCATGCGTTGATTTGGGCATCATAATTTAGTGACTCACTCATGATCAATTCTTTCTTTTGAAGACAAAGAACGACCTTGCAGCGCTGCAGTGCTCCAGTGTATCCAGGAGTACAAGAAGATGCAAACTGTGGATCCCGAGGAAGGTGGACCAACATATAAATTTCTGGAATGGGAAGCCAAGAAGTTTCCATATGAGTTCAACTCTTGGGGTGGTGACAAGATCAACGACTACCTGGATTCGGCCATTTCCTACTCGGTGATTGCGTGCTGGGGCAGCATTGCCCCTATCATGTTTGTCTTCGGTTGTATCTCGTTCTACGCCTCCTACCGTTTCCAGGCCCTGAAAAAGACAAGCCCTTTCTTATTTGGTTTCCATCGGCTTAGACGCATCTGATGCACGATTCGCACATTCTTTGCCCTGAACCAACAGCTGTCGCTTCTGGCCTAGGCTTGCGAACCTACCGGATGCTCTATGTGACCCAAAGGCCCCTCCCACGTGTTGCTTGCGGACTAGGTGTTTGGGCTTCTATTTTCTCTGCCATCAATGTGTTTCGACTGCATCTTCAGGAAACTTCAGTTGCAGTCAAACAGTGGGACAGCGCGGAGACTTGAATGCGCTGTCTGCCAAGGCTAGTGCTGTTGCTACCAACGTCGGTTTGGCATGCTTCTTTTTCTATCCAGGACGGGCTTGGATCTGTGTCCGAAATACTATTCATAGATGTGAATGAAATTCGATTCTTGCTTTTTGGCGTCTTTGAACTTTTACGCCATGGCTCCTCCTGTCTCGAGACAGCTGCTAGCGCGATTTCTTTCCATGTCATGGAGTACCAAAATACCCAGTGTCATTTCAACGCCATGCCAAACTTTGCCACCATGCCATGTCACACTCACACATTGGCATTGGCCTTTGGACGGTCTGTGCGCAATGAAAGCATCTTCTCTACGCAGCACCGTATGACGTGCTCGGCTAGTGATCCTTTTGCAATTCATATATATATATATATAGAGCTCCTTTCAGCCGCCGGTTTCAATCCATGAAATCACATAACTCGTTTTTCGTCGCACCTTCAGGAGTTCATCTCCACTTGTGGCAAAAACTTGCCTTGTTCTTGGCTCTTGAGCACGTGGTGTTGGTGTTGCAGTCTACCGTGCAATTCCTTGTGTCAGACAACCCGAAGGATGTGGAAGAAATTGGGCTCCCTGTCCGCTCTCTTACGTCCGTTCTTGGCAATTTTCCGTAGCTTTTCTACTTTCCTCCTTCAAAGAAGGTGTTCTTGTTGGTAATTATAGGTCTAAGGCCAGTCTTACAAAATGGGGTTGGATTGACAGGCATTGACCTGGAGCAGTCATGCCACTTCCCAAAGAGAGTGAGCTGACTCCGTCGCTCAGGTTCTACAACGAGCACGCTTCATCGCTGCTTCGGAATGATGCCTCAACGCATCACGCACAGGTCAGAGCAACAAAGTGTGATCATCTCAATTTGTCGACGAATCCAGATGGTCTGGAGTCAACTGACGCAGAATCAGACTAATGATGACTTATTAATGTATAATATGTGCATGGATGGCGCTGATGACGAGCACCTTGCTTGGCCAAGCTGCACATTGGTAGGAACAGTCAAGAGCCTGGCTCTTTGGTAAACACTTTTCAACTTGTGTTGACTTGCTTCTCCAGTGACGCCTTGACCGAGCAGCTCCTGTTTCATGATCCTTTGTTGGCATCATTGCAGAGCGATGATGAGTTCCATTCTGTCAATGAGAGATGCAAAGTATTGATTCCAACGCAAATGCACCGACAAAAGTGTGGAAAAAAGACATCGAGCTGCATTCTTGGAGGTTGGCTTCAGGCTACGATCTGGGTTGTCTCGGCTCCATTTCCAGAAAATCATCATTGTCCAGCGCAGGAAGATGATATGGACTGCGCAGCGTGTGCATTGAACATATGATATAGACCCAAACCCAATGGGTGAATGGACTCCCGTCTTTCCCGTCTGGGAAACGTGCCAGGTTCAATGGGTGGGAGAATCGCCTGGAGATGCAGCAGTTGCCTCCCCAAAAACATGGGGTGCCGTCGACCAGACATGAAGTGTCTGACGGTACTTTGGAGCTGTGAATTTTCGTTGAACCTTCTGAAGCTTTGTAAGCTATGAACCTTTGTAGAGTTATCCATCCACTGATCCAAAGCCATCCTGAACAATGACTCGCGACGGCCGAGTCTGTCTGGTCCCGGCATGTTCACCAGCGGTTCTTGGGGTTCAGTCATTCCATGACCAAGGTTTGCGCTTCGCCGGAGACTTTTGAAGACTTGGCCACACTTCTCGGAGTTCAAGCGCAATTGCTGGAGGTACCTGGATGTATCAATTTTCTCTCTCGGAAAGACTGAACAGGACTGGCATTTGCTGCCATCGCTCTTGAGCTGCCATCGCTCTCTCTCTCTCTCGAGGTGGCCCTGAGTACCAAGAAGCGAGTTATGCACAGAGCCCAGATAGCGCCAACGGATCCGACTCCATCGTCGCCAAAACCATTCCGGGGCTGGCCTTTGGCATTTTTGCTTTTGGAAGGAAACACAAGGATACAAACAGGACATGAAAAGGAATTCCCTTTGGTTGAATTGCGCTCTAAAGGGAGCAAAAGGCCATAAACAAGGATGTCTTTTCCTGTCCATTTGTTATTTGGAAATCATTTGGGGCTAAACAGGAATAATCAAAGGGAAAGCATTAAGAAATCAATGGAGATCAGAAGTTCGGTGGTGAATTCTATTGCAGCTTGAAACCGTTTCTTCCATTATCCCAGCCCCCTAAGCTATTAATATATATATATATGTATATGTATATATGTGTGTAAATCAATGGTGCCCTGGACCACCCCCCTTCAAACTAAACTAACTTTGATCAAAGGGATCCTCAGAGTTCCAGGACCAAAGATGGACCAGCAATAGGATATTGAAACCAAACAATGGAAGTCGGATTCTCAAGGGTGAAAGGATGGGCCAAAGATTGTTCCGAACAGCAAAGAACAAGAAGCAGTAGGACGAACCACAATGGAGTCAAACAGAAGAAACACAATGGTGGTGGTTGAATGAAACAACCATGGTGGGCTGGACCAAGGAAGACGAAAATAGCAACATAAAAGAAAAAGTTGCTAGTAGCTTCTTGCTACTAGTAGTAAGGCCAGGAGCCCCTAGTAGCTTCTTGCTCCTAGTGGCAATGCCAGGAGCCCCTAGTAGCTTCTTGCTACTAGTAGGAAGGCCAGGAGCCCCTAGTAGCGTCCTTGCTCCTAGTAGCGATGCCAGGAGCCCCTAGTAGCTTCTTGCTCCTAGTAGTAAGAGCCCCTAGTAGCGTCCTTGCTCCTAGTAGCGAAGCCAGGAGCCCCTAGTAGCTTCTTGCTACTAGTAGTAAGGCCAGGAGGTTTAGTAGTAGCGTCCTAGTAGCGATGTCAGGAGCCCCTTCTTGCTACTAGTTGGGGCCAGGAGCCCCTAGTAGCGTCCGTGCTCCTAGTAGCGATGCCAGGACCATGGCCCCTAGTAGCGTCCTTGCTCCTAGTAGCGATGCCAGAGCCCCTAGTAGCTTCTTGCTACTAGTAGTAGGGCCAGGAGCCCCATACTAGCGTTCTTGCTCGCAGCGATGCCAGGAGCCCCTAGTAGCTTCTTGCTACTAGTAGCGATGCCAGGAGCCCCTAGTAGCTTCTTGCTTGTAGTAGTAAGGCCAGGAGCCCCTAGTAGCGTCCTGAGCCCCTAGTAGTACTAGTAGTAAGGCCAGGAGCCCCTAGTAGTAAGGCCAGGAGCCCGTAGTAGCTTCTTGCTACTAGTAGTAAGGCCAGGAGCCCCTACTAGCATTCTTGCTCCCAAGCTTCTTGCTACTAGTAGCGATGCCAGGAGCCCCTAGTAGCTTCTTGCTACTAGTAGGAAGGCCAGGAGCCCCTAGTAGCTTCTTGCTACTAGTAGTAAAGGAGTAGCGATGCCAGGAGCTTCTTGCTACTAGTAGTAAGGCCAGGAGCCCCTAGTAGCTGCCAGGAACCCCTAGTAGCTTCTTGCTACTAGTAGTAAGGGCAGGAGCCCTTAGTGGCGTCCTTGCCCCTAGTAGCGATGCCAGGAGCCCGTGGTAGCTTCTTGCTACTAGTAGTAAGGCCAGGAGCCCCTAGTAGCGTCCTTGCTCCTAGTAGCGATGCCAGGAGCCCCTAGTAGCTTCTTGCTACTGGTAGTAAGGCCAGGAGCCCCTAGTAGCGTCCTTGCTTCTAGTAGCGATGCCAGGAGCCCCTAGTAGCTTCTTGCTACTATCAGTCTGAGAATGGACTTTCATTATTCCGCGCTCAAAGACAATTCAATTTGTCAGGGGCTTGGTATTATTTTGCGTACACTTTTTTTTGTCATTCCGTACTATTTTACAAGACTGCACCGATGGCTTCACTCGGACGTCGATTTCTGGCCATCACTATGTTTGGCACTAAGATCGAGCCATGGCATCAAGCCGAGCCAAGAAGTTCCTGAACGGCTTTCAGGTTCTTTTGAGGTTCCACCGAACGGGCGATCCAGCTACGGGCGCTCGAGTCGCCAAGGCCTCGCGGCTCCGTGGTGAGCTCGCCTTTGTCGCAAGGGACCTGATGACCTGCAGCTAAACGCAGTTTTGTCCAGTTGAGCACATTCCAGTGTGCGATTGAGCATGATACCTTGTACTTGTACATCCTCACAATGAACATCTGCTGCCTTTGCATTCGTAGCAGTGATCATTGGAATCCTTTGGAACAAATTCGGCCCTGTTGCCAATGAGGCCAAACCAAGCGACGGAACTCACCCAGTCCATTGCACGATCGCTGTACGAGGCGTGACGGGTGTCACAACAGCCTTTTGGGTCTCTGCAACCGCCTCACACCTTACATGACGAGAAGTGAGAAGCCAAGCGGCCAAGCGTTCCTGTGACAGCCAAGCTTCGCGTCAGAGTTCTCCCACTTGGGGCCTTTCATCCCTATGTGGCCGTGGCGCATCATCTACAAATGGACACAGGACACGGTGAATGCTTCAAGTCTTGGATGTGTTCGTTTGAAGGGGCACTGATTACATCGATGAGGCCCTGTTCATGTGGGCGGTGGGCCTGATCAATCGGATGAGCCGCGGAGGCCTGATGACATCGATGAAATTTGGAACTGGAACTTACTGACCTTACTATTACAACACGCATAAACGTTTAAGATCAAATCATCGATTTGCATCCGATCAAAGAACAGAAGTACCGTACTTTGAAAAGAAGTTGACTCAAGCGTTCTAGTCCATTTTTTTTTGGATGACCGTTTAAGCATGTCGAACCATTAGCTGAACGTTCTGTGGTACTGTACGTGCACGCTGGAAGGCAGATTTGGAACAGAGAGGCTTTCACAATTGCACTGTGTTTGTGCTGACCTGAAGGATCCGGGTTCCAAACTTACCAGGAAAACACAATATGGTATATAGGTATTGATCGTACCACGTGGGATATTCTCAGGTGGGTATGGCCTGAAACAGATGCATTCTCAACACTCCAGTGCTCAAGGAACAAATGCAGTCTTCGTGCGCATGCTTAAAGAAGCCCCAGTGTCGACGAAGACTTTGCTCCAGGGCAAGCATCGTCGCCCAATCTGCCGTTTGGGAAGCCCAAGGAGAGCAGGTTGGGCCAGGTCAGCTTTAGAGGAGACAGGCCCATTGCAATCCGGGCCCAGCTTCGTGGGGAGACTGCTTCGTTCGGCTAGCCGTATGACGCATGGCATGTTGACACCATCATTCATTCAATGTGGGACATGTCTTTCGGAGTACCAACATTTTCTCGTTGACACAATCATACACTCATGCACCATCCAGTGTGCTGTGCTGAGGTTTGCAGGTGTTTTAGATATTTTTGGATTTGAGGCCAGCACGGCACTGGGAGAGTGCCAAGTGTCAGATGTCATAGCAACAGGTTTGCTCTCATCATCATATCCGCTGTTTGCACATGTACACGTGGGAGCTGTTTGAACGTTTAGACAGCTCAAGAACATCGCAGGAAAAAGAATCGAAAGTCCTTGCAACACACTGTGTGATGTTCTGGTCGTTGACTTAGCGATTTAGCCTCTCCAGAGCAGCAGCTTGTTTGCTGCCTGCAGGCCTTCAAGCTAAACTCTCTCGAGCAGCTCTTCATCAACTACTGCAATGAAAGGCTACACCAGCCACTCAGCACGGATGACATCGCCGCCTCAGCACTCGGTCGGTTGTGGTTTCGACTTCCGGCGATGCGCCACTGGGACCGTGGCATCCGAACCATGGCATCCAGTTGTGCTGCAGGCATTACCCGCGGGAAGATCATTATACATCTAAGGGAGACGTGCCAACATTGGCAATCTACAGTGTGCTTTTAAAGGAACAGGCGATTTTGGACCTGTGAACATTTTTCTTTGGAAGCACGTCGAGCAACACTTTGCTTGGTCACATCCTTTTTTTTTAACACACTGTATGTAGATAGCCCACGTTATGTAAATTGGAGCTGTGAAGGACCCACGATGAGGCTGGAAAACAATAGCTGATGCTTTCTTCCTACTGTGAACCAAGAAACTCCAAGTGGTTCTCGAAAAACCTGGTCATTCCGCAAGTCAGAAAACACACTGGCAACTCTTACTCAAGGATGGACAGACGCATGCGTTGGGTCTC